CAAGGAACATTCCCACATCTACACTGCCGCACCTTGAACGCCTCTATCGACTGACTTCCAGACACTCTACCTCTTATACCTACACATCGGCTTAGCTCACTCTCTTCCTCACAAGACATGACAGAGGGATATTCAACAACAATGATACTGCCCATCTACTATGACTATGACTACAGAGTCTCTTTTGAGTAAGAAAATACACAAGGATTTTTTCAGGTCAAGGCAGCACTATCCTTCGTGAATTAGCTTTGGAATGCTTCGAGCACAGAGACTCAGTCATGTTCTTTTTTTTCTTTGTATTGTTTTCTTAAAAAAAAAAAAAAAAACACATAAATAATCAAAGATGTAGGATCATCAGAAAATAAACACAAAGGAGAATATAACCTTTTAGAATTACACATATTAGAACTTTTTTTTTTTTTTTTACATTTTCCTTTTTTTTTTACATGAACTCCAAAGTCATTTACAGCAAATCATAGGATAATCAGATCAGCAAAATAAGTCAGTTTGATCACATAAAACAGATAGAAACTCCTCATTTCTATAATTATATATATATATCATCAATCAAAAAAAAAAATAATGATAATAAAATAAGTAAATAAATAAATAAATAAGTAATAGAAATCTAAAATTTTAAATCTTATTCTATTCAATTAATTGCACTTATTTGTAACCGTTTTTCTACAAATCTATTATTTAATGGCCTCTTCTTGCTTTCATTACAAGAACTTGTTATGATAAATAAATAAAATACTAATGACATACACAACACCAAGTTCACATAACTCCCCAAAAGAAAAAAAAAAGGATAAAAAAAAAAAAAAATCTTATAAACTACTATAGCATATACTCACAGGATATACACATACACAAATCATAAATATTCATGGAGTATTCATACATAATCTGCCCAACCTCATTCTACCTATTCCATCGACAGCTTCAAACCCGGAAGCTATAAATACTTCTCTTATCAACCAATAAATTTCTTAATTACCACATTTTTTGTCATATTCACCTCAAGAGAATACAACACATCCATCTATCAATCACTCTGGATCTTCAAACATCTTGTATCAATAATGGGTATATCAAGCTACTTTAACCCCCCCCTCCTCTCTCATTTTAATGCATGTACACGCATATACCAGAGCTTTTGAGGGGGGGGGAAAAGGGAGGAAGAGAAGGAAGAGGAGGTTCTCCCCCCCCACAAAAAGAAGAGGAACTGGAAATCTAAATTCAATTCAAACAAAAGAAAGAAAGAAAATGCAAAGAGAGGCAAGAGGCTGGTCCACAGTGCCGTCCTCCTCTTTCTCTCCCAACAGTAATCCTTTTATCAATATCTTTGTGCACTGGCATCTTTTGAGATTACTAGTAGGTTGCACACAGAAGATGAAGAGTAATAAAAGGTACTTTTAAGTCTCCCTCACAAAGGGAAAAAAAACAGGTATATAGGTCCTGCATAGACCCGTGCCCAAGAGTGACAGGTCTCATTAAAGCTACATAGTTTATAATTGATCCCTACACATGGTTACTCATTTACCTTCAATGAGGGGTTACAAAGCATGAGGTTCTGCTAATCACTCCATTGGAAAATCAAAGTTGCTACAGAAAGAGACACGAATAGAAAAGTGATGTGTGAGAAAGTACACACCTGGTTGATAAAAGAGAATTGTTAACATTATGGGGAAAAATTTAAAGGGATATGGGAAAGAAAACAAAAGAAAAGAAAAAGAGAAAATTATAGACACAGTTCCTGCTACATCCTCTCTTGCCAAAGGTAAAAAACCCCTTGCAAGAATCTCATGGCCCATGTTCACCCTCTCAATACTGTAAAACTTACTTTGGACTAAGCATGAAGATGTTAAGATGGATTTTCTGACTTTATGCTGCATTCATTTTGCTCACTCTTAATATTCCCCTTGAAGGCCTTGAGAGCCCTTGCCGACTCGGAATTGAAGGTTTTCTTTGGTTCTGCCATGTCGTCCTGCTCCAACTTCACCTCTTGCTTCACTGGCGTCTTGGGATTGGATAGTCTCACATGTGAAAAGGTTATCTCATCTTCGTCCACTTCGGGAATAATGCCCTTCAGGTAGTCGCGGTACTTGCGAAGCGCGGAGTAAAAGGGGACTTTGTCCAGAGCCCTCGGGAGCTGGGCACATCTTGCAGATGAGGAAGGCATGACCCATATGTGCTGTTAAAGGAGGAAAAGTAATAAGATTTTGTCTTTTGAAAAATTAATAGTGTATGTGTTCATTTGTTTGCATGTATGTGAGTGGACTTTTCACAAGTATTTATTCAAGGTCATCTGTTATCATAGAATTTCTAATTAACATGATTCTTATTATTACTACTATCAATAGTATCAATTCTTTATTTCTAATAAATAACAAATGTTAGAAAGGAAATACTTACTGTATTTGTTCCGTCAACCATCTCTGGCTGTTTTCCGAAGTTGAACTGCTTCTTGCCAGAAAATATCTCATATATGCCCTTACCATTGAACACAGCGATTCGTGGCTGGTACTGCTTTAATTTAGTTAAAAGAATCTCACTCCCTGTAGAAGAGACACAAGGTTAGCAGGGATCTCATACTAACTCAAACTTTTGGGGCATTCTGTAGACTAATGAATGATGTATTCCATGAAAAAGTATGAAAGAGAAAATACAAAGGGGAATCCGAAAATGCCATATCTGTTACAAAAATCAAGAGAGAGAAGCAGGAAAAGCACCGAATAATAACCTCGACTCCTCTGCTATGTCAAAGACTTTGGTCAATAATAGCAAAAAAGAGAATTAACTTTAGTGAACATCCCTCAATGATAAACACTACATTAAGATACAAAAACCTCACAGACAATAACTGAAAAAAAAAGAAAAAGAAAAAAGAAAATAGAAAAAAAAAGAAAAAAGAAAAAAGAAAAGAAAAGAAAAGAAAAGAAAAAAAAAACAGATATAACATAGATACATATCTTCTACAGCCTCCATAGTAAACTGAAGAAGCACTAATGTCATGTCATGAATCTTACCTTTTTTAATCTCCTCTCTCGTTAGGTTGGCTGAGCCCCTTGTTGTTCTGGCCACCATGTTGGTGAAGCCTATGCCGTAGTCGAGCAATCTGAAGTCATCGTACGCTGTGAAGGGCTCAGGGATCAATCCTGACAGGTACATGCACTTCCCTGAATGAAGAGGAGGACAGAGAGGCTGGGGGTGAGTGGGTGGTTCAGTAAGGGGTTTCCTTGCGCTAAGTATGCCGGGGTACAAACGGTTCTTTCGGCTCTTGCAACAGACCTATGTTGAATATAGCCTGTGTTTTTTTTTTTTCTGCCATGCTTGGGTATAGTGAGTTAACATTGCTAAATATAACTATAAATAGCTTCCAATATTAATAAGATCCTTACTGTGTGAAGAAATGGAATGAAAGGAAGAAATAAAGAATATGCAGAATTCAATTGCAATATCTTCTTGACTTGTGAACAGTGATTAACATTTTTTTTTTTTTTTTAACATCCCCTATAAAATAAATTAAATTGTTAAAGTTCTCAACCTAAATATGACATACTAAGCAATTAGACGAGGGAGGTATTACCTGTATATGTTGTTAAATGATTTTTCCAAAAGTAATTATATTTTTTCTATTAGAAAATTGTTTGTATTTACTTGAAGTACGTATATGTGGATTTATTTGCAACCTATCAATTTATCTATTTACTTATTTCTTTGAGGACCTTAGTTATGGAAGAGTGACAGGACATCTGGACAAATATGAAATAAAGTGACTACAGAGACCATTTTGGTTTGAAACATCAAATTCTGAACAACAAAATATACAATGACAGTAAAGAGCAAACAAACACTAAAATGTTTGAACAGGTTGCAAAGTTCAATTACCTGATAAGCTAGATAACTTTGAAAAGCAGAAAATACCAAAGGAAGAACTGGTTTGACTAAGCATGCATTTCAAGGAAACAAGAACCAACTAAAAAGAAAAATCATAATACAGATTCTTTCTTAGATTGTGAAGGCCCTCCCTTCCTCATGTACAAGTTCCAATCCTTCAAAAAGAATAGAGGAATGGCTAGAGGCAGCAAACACAAAATTAACAAGACTTTCAAAAGCACACTGCAGAGTACATACTGCAATATTAACCCGAAGTTGCCAGGGATAGCATGTACACACTTGCCATGCCTACTGTGAGTTTATTTTAATAATTGTCTTTACATATAAATGGCTCAACAAGAATCTCACCTGTTTAACCTTTTTCTTGATTGTTGGAAATATTTTCTGGCATCTTATAATGCTGTTTGTAATGCCATTAACATCGTAATAATCATAACGTCTATCATAAGAATAACAACATCAATATTAATAACCTTTCCAAAAGATTCTTGAAATCAGATAAGGTTATAAGGGCTGCAAATTGACTCCATTGTGGCACTTGTGGAGCCATCTGTGCATTGAGACAACACAATATCATAGTGAATAAGACATTTTCCCACTGACAATCGGAAAAAAATAATAAAATAAAATAAAAAACATACACGTTATGTTTGGTAAGAAAGATACCAAAAAGAACTTTTAACTGTGTTGAAAAAGACCACAGACTAAGATGAAGGAAACTACTTTTAAGAAGTACAGTAGAGAAAAAATATGGAAATTTATACAAGCTGCTGTAGAAAAGGCATCAGAGCCAACTAGCACACATATGCAGGAACACAGACAGACAGACAGACAGACAGAGAGTGTGTGTGTGTGTGTGTGTGTGTGTGTGTGTGTGTGTGTGTGTGTGTGTGTGTGTGTGTGTGTGTGTGTGTGTGTGTGTGTGTGTGTGTGTGTTTGTGTGTGTTTGTGTGTGTTTGCGTGTGTTTGTGTGTGTTTGTGTGTGTTTGTGTGTGTTTGTGTTTGTGTTTGTGTGCGTGTGTATGTGCGTGTGTATGTGTGTGTACTTGTGTGTGTGTGCTTGTGTGTATGCGTTTGTGGGGGTTGGGGGGTATGTG